CCTGGGGCAGAGTTTCGAGTGGCGAAATTCCCCCAACGCCCTCGGGATTTCACTGGGAAGATCCTTGTGGTGGCCCAGCCTGTGTTTGGGGAAACCAAAGGGTGTGTGGGGCAGAAGGGCTCGAAGATGGTGCAAAACTTCTCCTCACAAGGCACTGAAGGGATTCTTGAGGGTGTCCTGTGCAGGGCCAGGAGTTGGACTTGATGATCCTTCTGGGTCCCTTCCAGCTCAGGACATTCCTTGATTCTATTCCACGATTTTAAATCCAAAGGTACTGAAGAAGCAAATGCACCTTGACATGACTCAACCTGTTTTTTCCAGGAATTGTTTTTCTGTCTCATTCCCAGATCACTGGGTGAGAGCAATTTCTTTTGCAAGGAGAGGAAGGGATGTACATCCCAGTCCCAACTCCAGCTGGGAACAAGAGAGGAGGAATTCTTTGTCTCTGGACACTGATGAGTCCAGGGAAAAGCTGGGCATGAAAACAGGGGCTGGACAATTCTTCAGTGCTGCTGGTGCCACTGCTGATGGGACTGAGGGCACATCAAATTGGCCTTGGAATGGGGAGGGATCACCTGAAGACATGGAAAGCATTCCTAACTCGTGTATTCCAAGGGCCTGGAGTGATAGGAAAAGGAGAATGGCTTTAAACTGGAAAAGAGCAGGTTTAGATTGGATATTAGGGAGAAATTCTTCCCTGTGAGGGTGGGGAGGAGCTGGAATGGAATTCCCAGAGAAGCTGTGGCTGCCCCATCCCAGGAAGTGCCCAATACCAGGTTGGACAACTTGGGAATAGTGGGAGGTGTCCCTGCCCATGGCAGGGAGTTGGAAGCAGATGATCTTCAGGTTCCTTCCAACCCAAACAATTCCATGATTCTATGATTCCATTAAGAGATCTGCTGGCCAAAGGCAGCCTGTAGAATTTTTGGTCCTCTGACCCCTGGGTTTCATATCCTGTGGATTTTGGTTGCCTTTAACCTCGTGGATCTCCAAGGATTTCAACAACGTCCCCACCAAGGAACCCGAGCAATATCGTTTCACCCCGAGGCACAACATCCTGACCCCCATTTAGGAAGCACATTTCAAACCTCCAAGCTCAGTCCACCCTCAGATGGGTGGCTGGACTGTCCCTGGAGCCACCAATGTGTCACAATTCCCTTTTGTTTAACGGGGTAAAAAAAGGGATCAGGATCCAGAGCAGCCCCACAAGGCACAGAATGACCCACTGACACATCCTGTGCTTTTCCCCCCAGGTCTGTGACAGAAGTGAAGCCCAGACAGACCATCTACCCCCTTTCAGGATGCTCTGAGCATCCCTCTTGTATTCAAATGACCCCAAACGACTTTCCTAAATTAGGAAACAGCGATGCTGTGCCTGCCTCCCTCCCCCCCCCAGCACATTGACTCCCGGCACCTTCTTTTCACCTCATTATTTTAGGGCCTTTGCCTCATTTTTCAGGCGGGAATCGAGAGGTAAAGAGGCTTCAGATCCCGGGATTAGGGGTGTGAGACTCCAGCAGGAGAGAAATGAAGACATCTGAGAGAGGATGTGCCGCCGTGGCAGAGCCAGAGGCTTCAAATCATCCAAACCCTAATACGGCAAAACACATCCATTTCAAAACACCCCCCAAAAAACCCACCCAACCCAAAACCCTGCACAGGATAGGTTTTAGATGAGAAATAATTTAGGAGTGATATTGAAAATGATATCACTGCTGCTGCTCTTCAGTCCTACCAAGAGCATTCCATAATTAATAACTCCTTCAGATGGAGCGACTTGCCTTGGATTAAACATTTAAATCCCCGTCTGTGCAGGGGAGACGGGGGCAGATTTCTCCAGAAGCCTTGCAGCTACACCCTGATGTGTATTTATATTCCAGATAGGTATTTTTAGCAGGAACTACAAGTCCTCTCTGTGTTTGATGACATCAGAGCTCTGTTTTACATTAACTGTCTGGACTGCAAAAAATATCCCTACTTATGGTGGTTTTTTTTTCCCCTCTTGGAGCTTTGCAATAATTTCTGCCCTTGTCTAGTCTCATCTCTGTTTCTTTTGTGGGTTAATGCACATTCCAAGAGGTTTTGGGGATTTTTTTTTCCCCTCTTTTGCTCCAAAAGGAGATAAAATATATAAAGTTTTTTTAAGAAATCAAGAGGCCAAAGAGCTCCTGGTGTTTCCCACCTCGGAGCTTGAGCCAGGTTGAGATAAACTGTGGAAAACACCTGGAAACGATCCCTGCTGGAAAACTCAGGCCTCTAAATATCAATCCTGTTGTTTGTGTGTCTCCCACAGCCCCGGGGAGGATTCCCTTGGAATCCTGCCCAAGCCAAACCAGGGGGTATCCCAGTTGGAATATCCTCACTTCCCTGGAAGTTTAGTCCCTGTTGGTCTTCACTTTTTAATTGCCAGGTGGGCAAAAGCACTTGGAGATTGGCAGCCAAAAGCAGGTGGTGAAGATCAGGAAGAAATTCTTCCCTGCAAGGGTGGTGGGGAGGGGCTGGAATGGAATTCCCAGAGAAGTTGTGGCTGCCCCATCCCTGGAAACATCCAAGGCCAGCTTGGAGCAACCTGGGCTAGTGAAAGGTTTAAGGGGGTGGAACTGGATGATCTTCTGGCTGCACACCCCCAAGGCTGCCCCATATCTGCAGAAAAGCTGGAAAAGGCAATTCCTTGGCCAAATAAAGCTTGAAAACCCCAGGAACTCCCTGGAATTTGGAGGTAAAATCTCCGGACCCGCACAGAAATGTTCCTGTTTAAACCAAGCCCTCAGAGGGAGGAGTAAAACCCTTCAGCAGAGCAACATCTCATGCTGTGAAGCCTCACCCTGCGGGACCAGGAGGCTGCAGGAGGTGTGTTTTTGTGGCCCCTTTGGAGCCACATCTTTCCCTGGCCTATTTTAATTCAGCCTAAATTTAAACTCGTCCCTCCCTCCGTGTGTCCACCTGACCCAGTGACGTGGAACTTGGCCGAGTCCTTTGATTTCCCCACCAGTGGCCTGTGTTTGGGGGGCAGTTTGAGCCTCAAAGACCAAATAGGAGGATAAATAGCAGGTATAAGTTTAAAAAAAAAGCAGCAAAATCGCATTTTTTCAAGGGCTCCGCCTGTGGTTTGTGGCTCGCACAGTGTGAGCAGGTGAGTGTTAAAAAAGGACATTTTGTGCCCCTGATACTCCCTGGGAAGGGGTTTTTTCACCTCAGCTAATCAGGGAATATATGAAGAGGACTTTGAAGATAAAAATGTTCTGATTTGCAGGGTGTTTTGGCTGCAGGAGGAAAAGAAAAGGGGGGGAAAGGAGGAAAGAAAGGGGGAAAAAGGAGGAAAGAGGAGGGAAAAGGAGTAGAGAAAGGAGGGAAAGGGAGAAGAAAGGGAGAATAAAGGAGGAAAAAGGGGGGAAACAAGGGGAGAAAGGGGGGAAAAAGGGGGAAAAACAAGGGAACAAATGAGGGAATAAAGGGGAGGAAGAGGGGGAAAGCGGAGGGAAAAAAGGAGGAAAAAAGGAGAGAAAAGGGGGGAAAGGGGAGGAAAGGAGGGGAGAAGGGAAAGGGGGTAAATAGGGAGGAAAAAAAGAAGAGAGGGGGAAAAGTGAAAGGGGGAAAAGGGGAGAAAGGGGGGGAAGGAAAAAAGGAGGAAACAAGGAGAAAAAAAAAGAAGAAAAAAGGAGGAAAAAGGAGAGGTAAAGGAGAAAAGAAGGAGAAAAAAGGAGAAAAAAGGGAGAAGGAAGAAAAAGAGAGAAAAAAAGGAGAAAAAGGAAAAAAGAAAAAATGAGAAAAAAGGAGGAAAAAAGGGAGAAAAATGAGAAAAAAGAGGAAAATGAGAAAAAAGGAGAAAAAGAGGGCAAAAGGGGGATAAAAGGAGAAAAATGAGAAAAAAGGAGATAAAAGGAAGAAAAAAGAGGAAAAAGGAGAAAAAAGGAGAAAAAGGGAGAAAAAAAAAGAAAAATGGAGAAAAGGGGGGGAAAAGGAGAAGAAAGGAGAAAAAGGGGGAAAAAAGGAGAAGAAAGGAGAAAAAAGGAGAAGAAGGGAGAAAAAATAAGAAAAATGGAGAAAAGGGGGAAAAAAGGAGAAGAAAGGAGAAAAAAGGAGAAGAAAGGAGAAAAAAGGTCTCTCCCAACCTCCTGTTGCCTCAATGTTCCTTTGCCTCCCGCAGGAGAAGCTGCTCCACGAAACCCCCCAGTTCCCCCAGTGCTGTCCCAAATGACCCTCCTGAAGCCACCGGGTCGTTCTCCACCCTTCTCCCACTCCTTTTCTCGCACGAACAGCCTTAAATCTGCCTCTTCCAAAGGGTAATTTTCCAAAGGGTATTTTTGTGCGGTTTCTCCCCCTCCTCGGCACCGGGGGCACCCAGAACAGCCCCCCCGCCCCCTTCCCATCCTGGGTGAATCTGAGCACCCCAGAAAGACGGTACAAGCTGAAAAAAACAGAGGATCCAACTTTATTTTCCAGGTTCTCCCCCAGGAGGGGAAGTCACGCCCTCCCTGGATCCCGATCCTGCCCCATCCCCGCGTGCTGGAGGAAAGCTCAGCCCGGTTTGGCGCTGGAGTGACCACCGGGGACACCCCGAAGGCAAAAAGGGGATGTGATTGAAGGGTGGCAGGGCCGGTGATTTGCTCCTGGCAAACCCAGATCAGGTCGGTTTTGGAGCAGGGAAACCGGGAAGAGACGAGTGGGAAGCAGAAAGTGGTGCTCGGCTGTCTATGAGGGTGGGTGGAATATTGGCATTGGAGTAACTGCCCGTTATTATCCTCCCCGTGGTGTTTTTCCTCGTGGATCTCAGCGTTCCGGGGGTGTTTTGGGGAAGCTGTCGGGGGTTTTAGGGAGAGCAAAGGGGCTCCTCAGCCCCCTGAGCCCCAGGATTGCACAGGGACCCCCCTGCCAGGGAATGCAAAGGTCGTCAGGGTTTTCTTGCTGAGACAGAGCTTGGGCGACAAATTCTCGGAGCAAGGAGGAAAAAAGAAACCCCTTCCCCCCCTCCCCCCCCCCCACTTTGGTTTCCTGCTGGTGTTGTATGGAAAATTGGGGGAAATGGGGAAAAAAGGAGGGGGAAATGAGGGCAAAGTGAGGGGGAAGTGAGGAGAAAGCAAGGAAGGAGAAAAGGAAGGAGAGAAAAGGAAAGAGAGAAAAGGAAGGAGAAGAGAAAAGGAAGGAGAGAAAAGGAAGGAGAAGAGAAAAGGAAGGAGAGAAAAGGAGGGAGAGGAAAAAAGGAAGGAGAGAAAAGGAAGGAGAAGAAAAAAGAAAGGAGAAGAAAAAAGGAAGGAGAATAGAAAAGGAAGGAGAAGAAAAGGCAGGAGGAAAAAGGAAGGGGGAGGAAAAAGGAGAGAGAAAAGAAAAGGAAGAAGAAGAGAAAAAGAAAGGGGAGGGAAAAGGGAGGGAAAATGGCCTTTGGCACAGAGGAGGTCGCTGGGATGCCCTGAGCACACAGGGATGGTACCTGGGCTGTGTCCATGTCCCACTCTGCCCTCGCTCTGGCAGGGGGTTCCTGCTGCCCTGGATGAGCCCTGGCAACAAGGAGCAAGTGGCAGAGAGGGCTGGGAGCTGGGAACACCTGGCTCATCCATGTCTACTTCCACTCCAGCTACTTTTCCAGCAGACAGGGCAAGCAGAGTCCATCCTACAGGTGCTCCAAGCAAATCCCAGCTGGGATCCAGGAGTGCTGGTAACCAGCTTTTCCCAGAGTTGAGGGTCTGGGATAATCATTCCTTTTCCTTTCCTGCTGTGAAGGGACGGGGGGCGGGGCAGAGTAACAGAAGAATTTGCTTGGAATAATCTGTAAAATGTCTGGGAAGGGAGATCTGGGAGCTCTGGCTGCAACCTCAGCTCAGGCAGAGACTCCTGAGGGGTTTGTGTGGCCAAATTCCCAGATTTGGTTTTCCAGGTCTAACCCACCCTGGCCTGGTGAGTCTGGGGAAGGTTCTGAGCTTTCCATAAATACATCCCATCCCAACCCATGGAAGCTGAGCCCTTCTGAACTCATTCCATAGCTTATTCCTGACCAAATCAAGTGCCAGCTCTCTGCCATTGCCATCCACACTCGGATGGGCAGGCAGGAAACCGGGACCAGACCCATCTGCTCCTCTGACTCAGGAGGTGGCACCAGAGCTGTCCAAGGAGGTTGAAATCGTGGCTTCCCAATCCCTGGAAGTGTTCCAGGCCAGGTTGGGTGGGACTTGGAGCAACCTGGGCTAGTGGAAGGTGTCCCTGCCCACGGCAGGGAGTTGGAATGAGCTGAGCTTGAAGGTCCCTTCCCAACCCAACCCAACCCAACCCGTTCCTCGATTCTGTAGAACCAGGAAGTTCAAAAGTGGACCAAAAGCAGCCGAAGGTGAGGAAACATCTGCTCAGCACCCTGGGAGCTGGAAATTCGAGAGGTTTAGCTCCAGGTGCCCAAACTTGAGTCCACTTGAATTCCCAGCGCTGGGTAGACGAGTGAAAGCCACGCATCAGCAGGGGAGGTCATTCCCAAGGGATCTAAGAGTTCACTCGGCAGAGAAGGGGATGGGGCGGGAGTTTTGGTCGGAGCTCAGGCACTTGGGGACACTACAGGGAGAGCTGGAGGACCTTGCCAAGCACCAGGGCCACCAGGGGCAGGGCTGAGGAGCTGCTCCTCATCCCACTGCTGGCCCTGGTTTCATCGGTGCACAGGTCGGTGTAGCAGCAGGACTTGGGTTTGGAGGCGCCGATCCCGCTGCTGGACAGACATTCCTCCTCGCAGGCCCTGGTCACCGTGATGTTCCCGAAGAAGGGATAACCTGGAAGAGGCAGGGGGGAGAGGGGGAGAAGAGGTGAAGGAAGTGCAGGCAGCTGGCGGGAAATTTGGGAAAATGAGGTGTTGGGCATCTTTAATCCATGGATGCCTCCGATCCAGGCTGCTTTTTGTGGGAATAGGGCCACAGATTCTTAGTGCTGACCCTCCTGCTCCTTGCTAAATTATTCCAGCATGGTAAAGGGACACAAATCCCTAGGGATGTTTGAGTACAGCTATAAATTAAGGGCCCATGAGGGCACAGGGGTGGGAAAGGCAAAATGAGCAGAGCAAAGTATACTTTAAAAAATATATATTAAAAATTATAAAATTATTTATATATTTATATTTTATATTCATTTTTATAGTCCTATATTTATAATTTCATATTTTAAACTTCATATTTATATTTTAAATTTTTGTTATATATTTATATTTTCTTTTTGCATTTATGTATTTATTTTTTATATTTATACATTTAGATCAATTTATTTAATGCCTGGGTTAAAATTTAACTTATAAAATACATGTAAAAGATATAAAAATATGAAAATTTAAAACTTATCTAATATAAATAAATAAAAATAATTCATATTTTAAAAAATCCCTAATATTTACATAGTGAGTCCTGTGTACTTCACTGTGAGACTCCAGATCTGCTGGATTTCCCTCCTTCCCTCTTTCCAGTGGGATAACTTCACCTGGATTCTTATAGAGGAGTTAAAGGACAATCCAAGGTGGGACTGGGATGGGAGAGGGAAGCGAGCCCAGCAGGTTGAGGGAGGTGATTTTGCCTCTCTACTCTGCTCTGCTGAGATCCCACCTGGAGCACAGAATCCACACCTGGAGATCTGAGCAGCACAAAGACCTGGACCTGTTGGAACAGCTCCAGAGGAGCCCATGGAGATGCTCCAAGGGCTGGAGCTCCTCTGCTCTGGAGTCAGGCTGGGAGAGCTTGGGATGCTCACCTGGAGAAGGGAAGGATCCAGGGAGACCTTGGAGCCCCTTCCAGGGCCTAAAGGGGCTCCAGGAGAGCTGGAGAGGGACTGGGGACAAGGGATGGAGGGACAGGACAAGGGGGGAATGGTTTTAAACTGACAGGGTAGATTTAGATGGGATACTGGGAAGGAATTCTTCCCTGGGAGGATGGGAAGGGCCCAGGAATGGAATTCCCAGAGAAGCTGTGGCTGTTCCATCCCTGGAAGTGTTCCAGGCCAAGCTGGAGCAACCTGGGCTAGTGGAAGGTGTCCCTGCCCGTGGAACTGGATGATCCCATCAATCCCAACCCATCCAGCGAGCCTCTGCTCCCTTCCCAGGAGCTCTGCCAGGGATCTCCAGAGGGATCAGCTCTTCCAGGGACTTACCTGAGTCCACGGAGTGCAGGGTCGTGGTGCACACGTTGGCCTTGGGGGGGCACAGGGTGGCTGTTCTGCACTTGGAGATGTCCGTGGGCTCCTTGCACGTGTAGCATCGTAAGGACTGGGCTGCAGAGGGGACACAAAGGCTCTGAGGTGGCACAGGGTGGCACAAGGTAGCACAAAGCTGCAGCTTCCTGACCAAGAGCTGGTGGCATCCAAAACCAAGCAGGTCTGGAGGCAACGGCAAAGCTTGGATATGTCGGGGGGGAAAAGCCCAAACCCCAGCAGCAAAGACAAGGAGGGGGTGGCAGGAGACTGAGCCCAAACACTGCCTAGGGGGCTCAGCAGCTCCCCCCAAAAAAAGAACAGGGATTTAGAGGGATCTCGAGCAGCTTTGATGGATCTGTGAATTCCCTGTGGAAAAAATGTTGTAACAGAGCAAAATATTCCGGCTGGAGAAGAGGAGGCTGAGGGGAGAGCTCAGAGTTTGGCTACAACTTCCCGGTGAGGAGAAGCAGAGGGGTCGGGCACAGATCTCTTCTCCCTGGTGACCAGTCACAGGACACGAGGGAAAGGCTGGAGCTGCTCCAGGGGAGGTTTAGGTTGGATCTCAGGGAAAGGTTCTTCCCCCAGAGGGTGGTTGGGCACTGAACAGGCTCCCCAGAGCAGTGGGCACAGCCCCAAACCTGCCAGAGCTGCAGGAGGGTTTGGACAACGCTCTGAGGGATTGTTGGCGTGTCCTGTGCAGGAGTGGGGCTGGATGATCCTTGTGGATCCCTTCCAGCTCAGGATATTCTCTGATTGCATGGGAATATCTCCTGCTGAGAGCAGCCTCCCCCATCCCTCCTACCACAGCTCCTTCCTGCCTGTTCAGGGAGGAATTCCACAGAAGTTGGGAACTGAGAGCAGAGCTGGAATTCCAGAGCTGCCTCAGAGATCCTGAGAGCTGGAAACACCCCCAGTTCCATCAGGGGCTTCTGCTGCTTTTTGAGGAGGTGACGCCCATCGGTGAGGCCGAGGGAGTGACACCACCATCCCTGATCCTGGGCAATCCTTGATCCCGGCAGCTGCTCCAAATCCCTGCGTGAGCCCTTCCCATCCCGACCCGGCACATCCCGAGTGTGCGGATCTTCCAAAGTCGCGGTTCTACCATCGCAAACCAACCAGCCAGTGCCATCTACTGGTAAATATTCAAATAGACGATGGTTCTATGTCCTAATTCTGCTCCATCTGCTGCCGGAGAGGAACTTCTGGGGCTTTGGGAGGAGGAGAAATAGTTTGGGGGGTGTTTGTTTGAATCTCTGATTTTTAATTTTTTTTTTTTAATAATTAAATTTAAATTTAAGGAATTGGAAGAATTTTTAAGGTTACTTCTCTCAACACCTGCTTCAGAAAATTCAGGTGTGTAGTAGAATCCTGTCTTTGTCCTCTTTTTCAAAATTGAAAATCGAAGTTTTTAAATATAAGTTAAAATTGTATATAAAAAAAAATTTAAAAGTTAAAGTCAGCTTTAAGTTTTAAACTGTAAGTTAAAAATTTAAATTTTAAATTTAAAAAATAATTAAAATTAAATTGAAAGAAATTTGAAGATTTCTAAAGACATCTACTTCTCTCAGCATCTCCTTTGGAAAATTCAAGTCTGTAGTAGAAACTACACGATGCAAAAACTGTATTTGTCCTCTTTTATATGAATTTAAAATCGAATTTTTAAATGTAAACAAAATTAAAATTAAACTAGAAATTTAAAAAAGTTTTAAAAAATTAAAGTTAGATTTAAGTTTTAAAATGTAAGTTATTTTTTCATTTCAAATTTATATAAAATTAAAAATTTAAGACATTTTAAGAATTTTTAAGATTGCTTCTCCCAACACCTCCTTTGGAAAATTCAGGTGTGTAGTAGAACCTACACGATGCAAAAACCGTCTTTGTCCCAATTTTTGAAATTTAAAATTGAAATTTTTAAATGTAAATTAAAATTAAATATGAAAAAAAAAGTTTAAAAATGAAAGTAAAATTAAGTTTTAAAATTTAAGTTAATTTTTTTAAAATTTAAAATTTATATTGAACTTAACATTTAAGACATTTTAAGAATTTTTAAGGTTACTTCTTTCAGCACCTCCTTTGGAAAGTTTTGTGCAGTAGAATCCACACAGTGCAAAAACTGTCTTTGTCCTGTTTGCAGAGGTTAAAAAAAAAAGGACTTTTTAATGTGAGTGCTGATGGTTTTGTCATGGCCATATCCTTGGAAACAGGTGTGGTGGAGCCATGCCTGCTTTTCCCAGCTCAAGGAGTCACCAAATCCCTTCCGAAATGATCCAGGAGAAGTCACTTGAGGGAGAAAACTCATCATCAACCTGAGAGTTTGGAGGTTTGTTGGGTGTGTGGGAGGGTGGATGGATGGATGATGGATTGATGGATGGATGGATGGATGGATGGATGGTGGATGGATGGATAGATGGATGGATGGATGGATGGATGGTGGATGGATGGGTGGATGGAGCAGTGGTGGCTCAAAGCACCTGAGAAACTGCTCTGCAACCTTTGGGTTGAGGTGGTTTCCAAACCACACCATTTTCACAGAGAGCAGGGAAGCGCCCCAGGCTCGTGTGGGAATGAATCCCAGTTAAAAGCAGATTTAAGGAAGAAAAATCTCAGCCCCCTCCTCTTTCACTGACTCAGAGGGCACTGGTTCTGCAGGAAGGTTTCAGGGGAAGAGGAAAACCCAAATCCATAAGGAAAACCCAAATCCATAAGGATCAGACCAGAAGAACCAAATGTGGATATCTCTGTGTCCTGATCTTGGGCCAAGAATTCCCTGTTCATCACTATCCAACAGTGCCTTTAATCCCTTGATATTACACCTCTGGAAGATGGATGGTCACAGACACATCCCTCAGTTGTGCCTAAACCAGCTGCTTCCCACTGGATGATCCCAGAAAAAACATTTCTGCCCTGACCTCATCCCTAAAGCAAAGGGTGGTGGTGCCTCTCTGTGCCAGCACTGCCAGACCTACGGGTGGAAACCTGCTCTTTCAGATCCTCAGGAATTCCACTGGATCCCAAACAGGACTCCAGATGGAGGCATTTCCCCCCTGTCCAGGCTGCCTTTCCTTTGGGATCCTTCAGGATCCCATGGAAGCAGCCTGAGGGTCTCTGGGGCTGGAGGTTAAACCCCACCAGGGTGGTGGCACCCCCAGGATGGAGCTGCAGCAGGTGACAAACAGATGGAGGACGACACAGCCATGACCAAACCCTGCTTGCCCAAGATCCAGACCCATCAGAGACCAAACCCAAACAGCCCCAGGGGAATTCCCACCCCCACCCATCTCCTCATCTCCCGAAATGAGGGAAAATCCTGAAGCGGGTGGTTCAATAAACCTTTCCAAAGCCTTCGGAGTTTTTTCTCCTACCTTCCCTCATATCTAGATTGAGGCTCATCCCTTGGTTTTCAGTGCTTCCAGCATCCAGCTGGGAGGTTTTAGGGATGGCAGGAGCTAAGGATGAACCTATCCCACCCCATTCCTGAAGGGACAGGATGGCAGTTTAGGATTAAGCCCTTGCCTAAATGGTCCTCCTGCCCTGTGCCACGTTGCTGTCATTTAAACCTGAGCCTTACAAAGCAGCCTTGATCCCCTCCATCCCTGGATATGGGATACACATCCCTGTGCATCCAAATGATGTGCATCGTTCCCAGTCAGGAATCACAGCTCTTCCCACCAGGAATGCAAATCCCTTTTCCCCATTCACCCTTGCCAGTCACCTTCTTCAACACACAGAGGTGTTATTTCCCCTCCCTGGGGGCTCCCAGGTCTCTCTGCCCTGATTCCTTTCCCCTCCCCTGCCAGGAATTTCCCGGGGGGGTCCCTGCAGAGTTGGGAATGAGGAGATCTTACCCAACTCCAGGCATGCCAGGCCAAGCAGGAGCCCAACCAGGAGTGTCTTCATGCTGGGAGCAGATCCGTGGAGCCAGGACAGTCAGGGAGAGCTGCTCCCAGGGAGCTTTATATGTTTTCCCACCCTCCACCACCTGCTGTTGATCCTTGTGGGCGGATTCCCTCGGGGTGAGCAGGGGAGAGCTCCGCTCCAGCCTGGATTGGGATTTGCAGAGGAACGAGTTTCCCCGGGGAGGTGACATCACCCCGGCGAGCTCACTCCTGCCATGCCTCTTCCTCAGCTTCGTGTCCTGGGGCTGCTCCCATGGAAAAGCCAAAACACTGCAAGGTGTGGCCCCGTGCCAAGGGCTTGGATGGGGAATGTGACAAGGTGTGTTTGCTCCTTGCAGAGCCCGGAGCCGGCCCGTGTCACGTGCGGGCAGCGCCAGCCAAGGCGCGAGTGGCAGCAGGCTGGGCCTCCCCACGTGCCTTGGAAAAAGCGTTTCCATGGGCGGGCGCGGCCTAAAGACGGCTCTTTTTCCCAAATCCAGGGCAAAGCCAAGGCTGGCTTTTGGATGCCAGTCATGAACTAAGCCCCAGTGAGGAGCTGCTGGGCGTGGGGGCCACTGGGAGGCCGGTGGGAGATGGCGCTTCCAAGTCAGGCGTTCGGTTATGCCATGTTGTTTTTCCAGGTCCTGGGTCGTGCTGGCAAAGCAGGAAGCTCAGCCTTCTTTTGGGAAGCTGTCAACCCTTTCCCAAGTTTCATTCTGAAGCTGGGAAATAGGCCCAGCGTGGAGAAATGAAATGATTTTCCCACTGTGGTACCTTCCTGAGAGCGAATTTCACTTCACAAGTGAATCAAGGCAACCCTTTCAAACACCCCAATTTATTCTGTGTCTTATCCAATATTTTGGGGAAACAGCTCAAAACACCTGGAGCCTGGCAGAAATGATTTGCTTCTCCCTTTTGCCTGAGCCAGAGGCATTTCATATTTCATGGGAAAAGCTGAAAGACTTTTTGTCCCTGTTTGTTGGGATCCAAACTGGAAAACCCCAGCGCTGTTATGCAACTCCCCATAAAAGCGGCTGAATAAACCAGAGGAGAGAAGTTTGTGAATCACTGGGAAGTCACTTGGAGAGCTCAGGGACGGGGATGAGGTGGATGAACGAGGAGGTTTTAATGACTTGGTGTTTCGCTTGTCACAGACTTGTTATGACAACACACGTGGGCATTGCTGCCATTCCTGGCAGCCCATCCTTTATTCCCAGGCTGAGGATGGCTCCCAGGAGCCCGAGGAGCTTTGCTAAGGAAAAATTCCCCAGTCATGGATGACACAAAGCTGGGGAGGCGGGATCAGTGCTATGCCTTGGGAAAAGGGGAGGGAAAACCTGCACCCGACTATGAGGGTGGAAAATGTCCTTTATTTTATCTCCCTGTGCTGTCAGAGATCAGCGACATTAGTAAAAAAAAAACACACAAAAACACAAAACAAACCAGCTCAAAACATGAAGAAAAGCAGCTCAAACATGAAGAAAAGCAGCTCAAAACATGCAGAAAAGCAAACATGAAGAAAAGCAGCTCAAACATGAAGAAAACCAGCTCAAAACATGAAGAAAAGCAAACATAAAGCAGCTCAAAACGTAGAGGAAACCAGCTCAAAAATTAAGAAAGGCAGATCAAACATAGAGAAAAGCAGCTCAAACATGAAGAAAAACAGCTCAAAACATGAAGAAAAGCAAACATAAAGAGAAGCAGCTCAAAATATGAAGAAAACCAAACATAAAGCAAAGCAACTTAAACATGAAGAAACCAGCTCAAAACATGGAGGAAACCAACTCAAAAATAAAGAAAATCACGTCAAACATAGAGAAAAGCAGCTCAAACATAAAGAAAGGCAACTCAAAACATGAAGAAAAGCAGCTCAAAATATGAAGAAAACCAAACATAAAGAAAAGCAGCTCAAACACAGAGGAAACCAGCTCAAAACATGTCCCAAAACAACTCAAAAGTAAAGAAAAACAGGTCAAACATGAAGAAAATCGGCTCAAACATAAAGAAAAGTAGCTCAAAACATGAAGAAAAGCAAACATAGAGCAGCTCAAACAGAACTCTGGGGGTGCACAGGCAAAACTCTGCTCCCTGAAAGCCACCAGACCCGGTTACATCCAGATCCCTGTTGTAACCGGGCAGCTCGAGGCAAATTTGAGCAATATCTTTAATGAACAGCCTTGAAACTGGAAAAGATCCAGTGCTTTGAGCATTCCAGGTGGTTCTGCCTCCAGAGGAAAGCACAGTGGGGTTGGCACAATAAAAGGTGGGTGATGAGCAGCTTGTTGAGTGGAGATGTCCATGAAGGGATGTTCCAGTGGTCCTCTCATACCTGCAAGTCATTCCATGGTGAGAAATCCTTGGAAGAAATCAGCCTGGTGGAAGGAACAGCGATGGAAATCCTTAACCACTGTCTTAACTCTGTCTAAAAGGTCGAAAAAGTTGGAGATCTTTCCGTAAAATCCATTAAGATCCTCAGTCTTAATGGGAAAAATTGGATTCTTTCCCCTGGGAAAACAGCAGAGCTCCTGCAGAGTGGCTGGGTGTGCAGCAGAGCCAGAATTCAGGGAGAGAGAGAAGTTGGGAACGTGCCAGTAAAGTTGTGGAGGGAAGGAAAGGCCTCTGAGGTCTGTTGCCTTTAAGGTATTAGTTGATGTAAAGATAAAGAGGTGAGATGGAGCCCTGAAAACAACTCCAAAACCCAACACAAACAACCCCAGGTGATGCCAGCTCGTGTGTTTGGGGCAAAAGGGAGGCTCTTGGCAGGGGGATTTGGGAAGTGGTAACATCCCACTGGCTTCTCAGCTGGAATTTCACTGCCCCTGTCAAGAAAAAAATGGGAGGGGGTCCTGATGGAAAAAAAAAACAAACCCAAGAGATGGAGACTAATGGGAAACCTGGGAGAACAGGAACTACCCCAAAAGATGGCACTGGAAAAGACTGTTTTGTCTTGCCAGAGTTAGGACAAGCCTAAGTTAAATGAGGCTGGGAATCAGGGGTTGGGTCTTGATGGGAAAAATTGGATTCTTTCTCTAAGAAAAGGCAGGGTGGAAACTCCACCTGCTTTAAGCTGAGCTTGATAAAGACGTGGAAGATGTGGTTTGACATAGCTAGGTCAGGCTTAGACAACTTGTAGGGCTCAGGAGGCCCTAAATTCCCATCTGCCTCTGTCAGGGGTGGAATAAACCCTAGAAAAGGTTTGAGCCCTGACTGGCAGGAGCCATAAGGGACTTCAGTTGAAGTGTCACTTCAGGTCTGAAGAGGGTGGTGCGTAGGGAGAAAGGTTTGTGTGCCAAAACCCTCTTGGAATTCTCAGTGATATCAATCCAAACCCACTCCCAGCCTGTCCCTGGGAGACTGTCTTTATTTATAAGGTGATGCAGGTAGATATGATCTCTCTCTGCTTCTCACATACACCAGGAAAGGCAGGTGACATAAGTTTGGTGTTTACAGGTTTGTAACTCCCTGATTTGACTTCCCTTACAGTTAATTCTTGTTTGGATGAAAAAAGAAAGCAGATTTTGTGACAGAGGGTGAACACCAAGCTCTGGTGAGCTGGTGCAGAGGTTGGATATCAACCAGGTGTGAAGCTACTCCTGTGTAAAATATTTTACTCCGATTTGTAGAGTTCCTACAAACAGTAGCTCCTGTTATCCTTTTACTAAACCTAATTTCTCACTGTTGCAAATTTCCTGTCCCCTGTGGAGATGTGTTTTGTTTAGGATATTTCCCTGATACAACTTTGGTGGGTTCTTTGACTCCTCCTCTGGGAAGTCTGTTCTCCAGGGCTTTAATCCTCCGAGTTGTCCTTCTCTGAACCACCTCTGGTTTGTCACCTTCTCCCCTACATTGCCCAGCCCAGAACTGGATATTGCCGTGAGCCACTCCATGGAATGGTTTGGATAGGAAGAGACCTGAAATATCATAGAATTCCAACTCCCTGCCATGGGCAGGGACACCTTCCCCTGTCCCAGGTTGCTCCAACCTGGCCGTGGACACTTCCAGGGATGGGGCAGCCACAGCTTCTCTGGGCAACCTGTGCCAGGGCCTCCCCACCCTCATGGGGAGGAATTTCTCCCCAATGACCCATCTACCCCTGCCCTCTGGCAGTTTAAAGCCATTCCCCCTTGTCCTGTCATTCCAGGCCCTTCTCCAAAGTCTCTTTCCCCACTTCAGGGACTGAAAGGCTGCAACAAGGTCACCCCATTCCCTTCTCTCTCCCAGTCCCAGGCACGAGCAGAGCAGATCCTTCTGTCACAAGACAAGCACCAAACCACCCCATTTGACACTGTGGTCATGCCATGGTGGCCTTGGCATCAGCCCACATGGTGTCCACCTCTTCCCTGGTTTGCAGGACCAAGAGTCTTCTCGGTTTTCCGGATATCGGATTTCCAGGTGTCAGATCTCCAGATGTCATGGTGACAGCTGGAATATAGGAAAATGAACACAGCTGATCAGAGCACTGACTCAGCTGGAGGATGGGATTTTTTCCTGGGGGACTTCTGGGTGACTTCCAGCACCTCCACCTGTGAGTCAGCAGTGGGAAACCTCTCCACCCGTGTCCGTGGACGCAGGGATGTTGGAGGAGGTGGCGAGCCCATGGAAGTTCCACCTGTCACGGGTGTGTGTCAACAACGAGACATTGGGCTTGTTGGGGTGGGGTTGGTCTCCACCCTCCTGATGAAACTCTGCCAACCGGGCAGGAAGGAATTCGGGTTTCGGGCAGGGTGAAAGTGTGAGGGTGACTCTTGGAGCACCTGGGAGCTCTTCAGGTCTTTCTTCCTGGGGGCTGCTCGATACAAAACACACATTTCTCCACGTTGGGAACTATCAAAGAGGATTCCAGAATCCCAGCACTGACTCATTGAATCCGTAAAGAGCTTTTTTCACCCCATTCTCTCTGTGTCAGGGCTTTGTTTTGGGGGTTTCCACACCCTGCCTGAAGAGGTGAGGGGAGGAGTTGAACCTCTCCAAGCAGAGAAGGAAATTGTGCTCATTTCTTCCAAATTCTGGCTTAAGCACACC